TTTTCACTTACCTGGAAATATGCAGACATGAAGGAGTTATCCACTCCGAGAAGCACGTCTCTGTGCTTGTGGACAATGTGCGCACAGGCTGCGATGTCAACTAACTTCAAGCTGGGGTTGGTGGGGGTTTCGATCCAAACAAGCTGGAGTTATTCAGAAGAGAGTAATAGTTTAAAGGAGTGCACTGTGCAAGCACAAGCCTCAGAACTTGCAACAAGGGCTGGGGAGATGGCTCAGTGGAAAAAGCACTTCTCTGGCAAGTGTAAGGGCCTGAGTTCAAGTCCTGGTTCCGCCCCCAAAAAAAAGAAAGAAAAAAAAAGAACTTGCAACAAGCTTGGAGGCTTTCACACAAGAGTGGAAACACAGGGACCAGGAGTGTGAAAGGTTCACATCTCAGCCCTATCTGTCCTACAAATTCCAGAGCCTTAGCTGCTTCCATTTTCACATCTGTATAATAAAGTTTGGGAATTTTTTTTTCCTATAGCATTGTCAAGATCAAATAAGATAATGGACATCAAAGCAGGAAAGTGCTGAACTATTACGATTATTTTCCTATTTTATTTTTTTAAAGAGGATTGGGCGGGTGAGATAGCTCAATGGACTAAGCGCCTGTTTAGGCAAGCTTAGGGACTGGGGTTCAAACCCTGGCACCACATGCTGTGCCAGCCCTGCCCCTAGGCATGCTGAGCCAGCCACAGAGGCCAGGTATGGTGGTGCACGCCTGTAATCTCAGTGCTGGGGAGGCTGAAAACAGGAGATCCCTATGTGTATGAGCTGTGTAATAAGACCCTATACCAAATACATTAAAATAAAATTAAATTTAAATTTAAAAAAAGAGGAGGACCAACCCTAGGCCCTGCAAGTGTGGGGGAGAGCTTCTGCTCTGTCCTGTGCCCGCCCGCCGCTCCAAGCCCAGGACCGCCACGTAAGAGGCCTTTGCCCTTTTTATCTGGACCTCCCCCACCTGGGCAGACCCAGCACAGCCCACCATCTGAGTAAGAACTTCTGCCGTACTCTTGGGAGTTTTGCAGACCCACCAAAACACAACACTGGTGAGTGTGTGGGAGAGCTTCTGGGCTCTCTTGCCCCCGCTCCTCATACCCCTCCAGACCCAGCCCAGACCTAGCATACAGGCTTAAGTTAAAACCTTGCAGCTAAAGTCCCTGCAGTGAAACTAGGGTCAAAACCACACAGCTAATCCAGGAACAGATCATCTTACCAGAGGTGCACAGCAAGCCCACCTCCAAGGGCAACAACAGTAAGGAACTGGGCACAGTAGCCTAACCCAAACTAGGCACAACTGCATGAACTAGAACTTGGTATATCAGCACCTGAACTTCATTAAGTGATAACATAATTGCACCAAAGCTCTACACCAAAGGCCACAGGTCAGTGTTAAACGAAATGATAAAGACAAGGAGCAAAATGCAATCTCAGGTCTCAAGCCCACCCATAACAAGTGCACAGGACACTAGCTCAGCTGAAGTAAATAAATCAATAGCATCAGAAGTAAATAAACAACAGCAGAAAGATATAGAGGAACTCAGAGCAGAATTAATTTCTGGAATAAAAACAAAGAAAACTCTAAATTTATAGCAGCTGAACTTAAGAATCAAATGCAGAAACATATGGAGGAAACACAATGCCCAACCAGAACAAATGCAGTGGACACTAGCTTAGCTGAAATAACATGAATTAATAGCGTTGGAAGTAAATAAGCAACTGCAGAAAGGTTTAAAGAAACTCAAAGCAGAATTAGTGTCTGAAATGAAAAAAGAAATCTCTAAACTCATAACACCTGAACTAAAGAATCAAATACAGAAACATAAAGAGGAACCCCAATCTGTAAAAAACTCTGCAGTAAAAGAATTAATAACTGCTTCTAAGAAGATATTGATTAAAAAAAATACAGGCGATTAAAAAAATGATAGATTCCTTGAATGAGCAATACAGGAAAGAAATAGATCGCATGAAGCAGAGTCAAAGAGATGTAGAGGACCTTAAAATCTCAATTACAAGCCTGAAAAACCATTTGAGTGAAAGTGAAGATAGAGTTTCAGATCTTGAAGATGCTGGTGCAGCTAGTGAAAAGGTAAGAAAGGATCTCTTAAAAACAACGAGGATGCAGGAAAAAATATTTCATCACCTGCAAGATGATGCAAAGATGAACAATGTGAGACTAATAGGCATCAATGAAAATGAAGGAGTCAATAAAGATGATATAAAAAGAATATGGGCAGAAGTAATAGCAGAAAACTTCCCAAATATGAGGAAAAAATCTGATATTTACGTAACTGAAGCATAAGGAACTCCAAATAACGTCAACCCAATTAAAAACACACCAAGACATATAATAGTCAAGATCCCAGAAATCCAACACAAGAATATCATACTGAAAGCTGCTAGAGAAAAGAAGCAGATCACATTCAAAGGAAAACCCATTAGAATTAGGGCCAACTTCTCTTCACAAACCATGCAGGCAAGAAGAGCATGGAGCAGAGTACTTCAAGTCCTCTACGAAAACAAATTCCAACCAGGACTACTATGCCCTGCAAAACTCTCTTTCAAGTTTGATGGAGAAGTGAAATATTTTCATGACAAAGAACAACTAAAGAATTTCATGATGGCAAAACCAACCCTACACAGACTACTGAAAGATGTTCTAGAGAGGGAACAAAATGATCAGAACTCCACCAACGAGAACAGAAGAAATCCACTAAACAGGACAAACAAACACAGGAGAAAAAACAGTTACAAAACAGCATTCAAATAATATGTCAATCATAAGTCAACGCATCCCAATAATAACCATCAATGTAAATGGACTCAATTCACCAATTAAGAGAAATAGATTGGCACAGTGGATTAGGAAACAAAACCCAACAATATGTTGTATGTAAGAAACATTTAATTCATAAAGAAACTCACAGGTTGAAAGTCAAAGGATGGAAAACAATACTACATGCCCCAGTACTTCAGAAAAAAGCAGGGGTAGCAATCTTGATCTCAGACAGTCTGAACTTCAAACCAAGAATGGTCAAAAAAATAAAGAAGGACACTATATACTAGTTAGAGGAAAAATTTAAGAGGAAGAAATAACAATCATAAATATGTATGCACCAAACGCGGGAGCACCCAACTATATAAGACAAAATTTAATAGACATGAAAAATCTAATATCCAATACAATAATCTTAACAGGAGACCTTAACACCCCCTTATCCCAAATAGATAGATCAACCAGACAGAAAATTAGCAAAGAAGTAGCACAATTGAACCAGAGCTTGAAACAAATGGACATGGTAGACATACATAGAGTGTTCCACCCAAACACAACAGAATACACATTTCGTTCAGTTGCACATGGATCATTTTCTAAAATAGATCACATACTAGTACATAGGTCATGCTTAAGTATATGCAAGAAAACAGAAATTATCCTATG